ACCACACGACCTTTGAAGCCTAGCGTATAATTACTGAAGAGATTTATATTCGACAATTAACACCAAGAGCTCAACAACGGAGAAGGCAGGAAGAGTGCATCGGATTCAATAAGATGGATCAGCCTTGCAGACGTGGTCAGTCTGTATAACTTGTCTTTACTGAGATTAAATATATTATTCTATCCTTAGCTTAACTGTTTCCTTTAGAAACTCCAGACATCATATTGTGAATTGTTACGATAAGATTAGTCAGCATAGACAATGACGTGACTTCCACATAAGATGTTGTAGACTAGGCAGTCAAATTCATGACATATCTACAATTTCACGATTAGGTCTATTATTATAATGATAATAATAACGAAGTACTGCGAATTTGTACAGACATGCCGTGCAATTCCTTCTCTACAATCGTTAGCCAATTTAAATGTAACGCTTCTGAATGTATAAATAGCCTCCGAAATACATCCTCGAACCTCTTCACTTCTCACTTCTGATTGCACTGACATGCTTTGATCACGAAGGTGTTATGTGTAGAGGCGTTGTAAAGCCCCGAATACCTGTGGCATCTTCAGCGGTGAAATTGACGTTATCTGGCACATCAATTCATAAGTTGTGGATCTACCCCTCTATATCGTCCTTTAATTTTTATTTTCTACATATTGTGGTATTGTTTTGATATTTTCGTGTATTTTTCCTCGATTATAGGTGCATCTTATCCTCATCGCGAGATGACAAATGGCTGAGCTATTTAAGATTAGGACTTTTCCGCTCCTCAAAATTTCAGCGAGCAGTGTTTTGGTCCGATAGTATGGAGGCCTGGCTCTGTTAGGCAGAAGCTGACTCCCATGAACACGGCGTTACAGACCCATCTACAAAATTAGAAGTAAAGCACGGCGAATCTACTGGTGATCTGGTGCAGACGCGAGACCGATCAACTTCAGCTAAGTTGGTGCACTAAAACTAATGAGGTCAGCTTTAAATGTTGAAAACTTAAAGAGCCACTGATTTTGGGGATTTATTTATTTTACAGAATGATCTGGAGTGGATGCATGAACCAGAGCCTCCAGCTGGGGTATATCCAGGTAGATAAAATGAGTTCAGAATCAATCTCGAAGACTGACAGCCCTATTTATTTCAGGGACATATTCATCACAATAAGCTGTAGCCTTTACTATCCCGTCCACAACCTTTTAAGGAATAAAGTATTAATGTTTGACTACTACATAATAAACACAGTCCTTTTGATAAAACTGATACAAATTTAGCAAAAAACATTATTGATTGTCAAAATTAAAAGTTTCTGAATTGGTGTTCTTACTATAATTCTTCATTTTTTCTGCGTTTCGTTTTATCGCACTAAAAGCAAAACCGAAAAAGGTTGGTAACTTTTCAAATAATTTTTGCATTATCGTTATGAATATAAAAGGAAAATATAACCGTATGTTTGTTTGTTAAACACAAATAAAAATAGTAACGGCATTTTTCGTGCCAGTGAAAACGATTAATAATTAACTTTTTCGCGAAGCACGGCAGGTGGATTTATCAGTTCGTCATTGCCGTAAAGCTCGCTATTTTGGGGAATATTCGGGGAAGCCGCTATAGAAAATTTGAGAGTAATTTCAAGTGAATGGCAAAAAACTCAAGGCTGCCTCAAAAATTGAAAAATTCCGAACACAATCACTGGTCTGTGGTTTCTTCCCCAAATTCCCACAAAATAGGGAGATTGGGTTTTATCATATTTTGCATAGTAAATCTGAACTTCTCAAAATTATATTCTCGTTTACCCATCAAATAAAAGCGTTGTATAACAGCGTTTTTGTTGAAGTAAAAGTAACAGAATTATGATGCGAGTATACGTCCTTCGTATTACTCAATATTGTTCGTAGTATATAAATTGGTATTCATCATGTCTATTTTCCAAAAAACTGTAGTTTGTTTGAGCAACGATCAAGTTATTTTGAGTCGTCCACTGGCACATTATTAGGTCATCCATATCCATTTTTTGTCGCGATAGATCATGTCTGATTCTTCCTAGGATGAATTTTTATAATGTCTAGTGAAACACTGCTTAGCTCATAGAAGTGTGATTTTGGTGTGTAGTCATCAAAAGCAAAGTTATTGAAACTGAATGAAGTGTAGTTTTTCTCCCCTTTCTTTCATTTGTGGTTATTCGTTAGTAGGTTTCCCATCTTTAAATAGTAAAAACATGGAAAATATCCGGTTTCTAAAGAATTCCTCAGTTGATTATCGCCCAAATCCTGATGATTGTGTGGTCTTGAACTTCCAAAAGATTTCAGCAAAAGTGTTTCATCTTTATTTTTTCTTGGCTTTAAGCAACTTCTTTAAACAAACAAATTTGTGAGTTTTCTACACACTTACCAAATCAGCTTAGTTGGATGCATCACTAATTGAAGGCATTCAGCCATTAATATCAGATTATGGTTCAGCATAGCTCAGAGTACATCTCCAGTAACTTGCTAAGAGGGCATAACCTGTCGACTACCCATAATTCGAGTATATGTTCTCACCCATTCACCTTCAATTTCTCCCCTAACTGTCTTAGAAACATTAGAATAGAAGAGAACCAAACGTCAGCACTGTCAAATTTGGCTATATTCAGAGCTGCTTACGCACCAAAGTTGACATATCAATTAACATTTCATTGAACTATTAAGCTACAACTGACTGAAGTTACAGTGAAGTCTCCTGCATATTACCCACTCAGATTTAGGAACTGGTTGGAGTAGAAGAGGAAGGAACGAAAGCTTTGAATGCTTTATTAGTAGTTCTTGCTTTCTGTTTGATAGTAATTGAATAGGGATATTTCAGAAGGAACTGTTCATAAACCTATATACATGACTCACTAATGCGTGCATTGTCATTTCCTTACAAATTCTCAGCATTCGTTTTTTTCAGAAACGTGTGGAAACCTTAACGTTTCGTGACTTTTGACAATGTGTCTACGAAATCAATAGCTTCAGCCTATAAGTTTTATCAGCAAAACGTATCTGAAAATTCCTTGAAAATACTGCAACTAATTAACCATTAACTAATGTCGTCATCTTTTTAAGTATTACCGAGAATCCTTTTGCAACTTAAAATTCTTTCGATTCTTTAGGAAACTCAGAGTGGAAGCACTCATCAATAGAGCTTTCGAAGGCTAAAGAGATAATCTAAAAACATAATCTCTCTCGTGAAATTTGTATGGCATCACGTGGTTGTGATAATTAGGAGCATTCGAATTATAGTATAAACTAGGAATCTCAGATATAACGCAATTTAATCAAAAAGTACTGGTCGAACATGAACGAACATACTGTATTTGAAATTCGAACTTAAGCAGCCATCAAGTACAAAGGAATTATTGGTGCATATAAACATCACAGTGGTGTTCATTGAATGCAAGAGATATGTCAAAGCCTTAATATGCATTAGTTAATGGGGAGTTGTTTTTTGATCGAGATGCATATTCAACAGTTATAACGTTGCATTCTTTGGTTTGACTAACTTGAAATTTAGCGAATGAAGACCAGGATCAATCTTTTAGTTGTAAGAAAGTATATTATCCCTCTGATATAGCAGCTTCAAAATAAGGGTAATTAAGAATATGAGTTTTAACTAACCTTAGTTTTTCATATGATATAATTATCTTAGATACACCAAGGAGTTGCAAACAGATTTCATCATATTCATGATTAAACTGATTACTAAATAAATATTCCAGCAAAAGTACTCAAATATCTATAATTCATGTAATGTTGCTCTACCTAGTCTATGTAAACTTAATACTTAGGACAAAAATCTTGAGATCAGCAATTTTCAAGATAAGCGGTTTTGATTGTGATAGCCTCCGGATTGTTATAATAAATTTTTAAGTGCTGCACAGAGTTTTAATTTATTACTTTTTTATACTGTAATACCTATTCTCTTAAATTAGCAAACAGTCTGGTTAAAAGGTTTCAAAATGTGAGTATTTGGAGTAAAGTGAAAAATATTCGATCTCTTTAGCAGTGACAAAAGCTAACCTAACAAACAATGTTTGCTTTGTTTCAAACAAGATCGAAACAGCATTAAATTTGGAAAAATGTCTGTCGTCAGTTTTTGTAAAGTAGAAATGAGATTTAGGCTTCAAAATTCCACTTCAAAGATGAAATAAAAACAAATAATAACATCTCAGTATTTGGTTGTTTTTGAGGTCCAGCAGATAAAAAAAATTAAAAGCATGCATATTTGAGCTGAGAACATACATCGAAGGTAGTTTTATTCTCCTTTTTGTGACCATTACACATAGAAAAACTAACGGTTGTATTTGCTCCTATATTAGGTGACATGTATAATTTATTACCTATTCAATTATTTACAACGTTTTATCGAAACATCTGATAAACATTTTCATTCGGAATCACAAACCATGTTATATTGCAAAGTTTTATTTCGGTATGATAATCACTTTGAATAATAATACAAACATCACTGAATAATAAAGTCGTCTTTAATACCAAAGTATAAGCTAAGTATCAACTATTTTCTGACTTAGCATATATTATTAAATTGCAATCAAGAACTGCAAGTAATTATTCTTGCAAAATAACTAGTCGAAATATTGGCTTATTATGGTCACTTCTTATCATGTCATTACAAATCGCCTTTATCTCTATTTTTGACTAGATCTGATTAAAACGCCTAAAATGTAGTCTTTCAGGTAAATCCTGGATGCAGTTAATACGCTGTAAATGAATCACAGCTACTAAGTTGGTAAATTAGATTTTCGTCGTGAATTTGCAGCTCTTCACCTAATAAGTGTTCACAATTAATTCTACTTATTCGATCCACCTTTTTGGCTTTAATAAATGGATGTAGTTTATTTTTTTGGTCCGTATTGTAATAGCTCAACTCGTCAGAAACGGGTAGCAAAATAAACGAAGTTCCCGAAAAACTGATAGAAGAGCCAGAAAGTTTGAGTAAACCTACTATTCAACGTTGAATTTCGTGTCATTTTAAAGAGAAAAAAATATAGCAGTTTTCCTAATTATTTGAATTTCTGAGTATTAGTATCTGGTTGACATAGCCGTTTTCTATCGTAAGGCCAGCACTCAATGAACTATGGTATGTTCCCTCCCTTAGACAGCGCAAGGCTGAGAGCCCCAGTGTAAGAGGGAAAGCATTAATTATGTTGTAATCACTTTAAAAAATCTCACTCAGTATTTATTCATTGAAGATTATGTCAGATGATAAAATTGAAGTATAAAGTGATGTTTAATTGTTCTTGTACACTAATCTAGTAATTACTACCTCTGTATGCAAGCCCATAGGTCTTGCCATCAATTTCATGTAGATTATAGCCTAAAGCCTATAAGACAGAATTTTTATTAATACGTGCTATTTGTCAACCGTATAGCCAATGGTACAGCGTTATAGTCTTGGAGTGAAAATCAACGTTGGGATATAGGTCCACTCACCTGAAGAGCCCTGGAGGACGAACCGTGCATCCTGGATTTCAATGCCAGCCACCTCCCATCTCTGACTAAACGGTTGTGACATAAAAGAAATATAGAGGGAACACGAACAGAATGCACAAACATCACAAAATACTGATCAATTTAAGTCCTAAACATCAGTATGACGATCCAAACAACCAATATAAATGAATGATAAGGGTAATCATATTATTCGTAATCTGTTTAAAGTTAGTGAATATTATACAAACTTCGCTTATCCATAAACAGTAAAGTATACATTTCCTGACTGCAGCAAGATAATGACATGACACCAAATGTTTTCTGGTCCAGGTAATGGACAATTTTATTGTTTCATTACTCCTTGAGTTATAATCTTCCTGCTTATATCTTTGAAACAGGTTAAGATATTTTTCAATACAGCATCACGAATGTTACATATAATGTAAATTAGACCGTATAAACCCTCGATAATATTTTTAGAAGTCGTTTTACGATTTGTATTATTTCACCCCACACAAATAAACTCTGTGTTCCTATAAATATAGGTTCCAAATCTGTCTGCTCAGCTCCTGTAGAAGAAAAGAGTGATAATAACGAAAGAAAGAATTCCATGATAACAAATTGTGTCAGTAAAAAGTCCGTAAAATTTCCTGGAGAATGTAATCTTGTCACATGTGTGATAGACCCAGTTGATCCGTGGTTGAACAGTAAGTCAGTTAACTTTATAAATTTCGGCCGAAGGACAGTGCTTATCACCCGCTGAGTTAATCAGTATTTATAAACTTCAATGTAATCTCTCTTCGATCCAACCTTTGTATAGTGTCATTTCGCAGTTACAAGTAAGTAGTTGAAGAAAATCACTTGTCTGTAGTCTATAGATTTGAGACAGTCCCCAGAACGGAAGCACGTTTTTAGTCTTAAGGGTAAGAAATTATGTTATTGATTACTATTTAAGGTTGCCAACTCAACGGTGGACACATTGAAATGTTAGAATATGTTTTCAAATACGTCCAATTTCAATACTTAAATTTGGAAAACACCAATCTTGACGACAAGGTGAGAATTCCACTGGTGTTTCAATGTAGCCACATTTCATCATTAGGATATACCGCCTTAAATTTGACTACAAAGAAGATGGTATAGAAATCACATTTATGTAAATAACATAATACAAGGAAAAACCACAACGGTTTGTTTAGAAAACATTTATTTAGGATGAAATCGAACCAGCTTTTCTAGTTGTTGTCAAGGCTATTCCTTTTGTGGGTTATTTTTATTTTGAGTAACACAGCTTGAGTAATGTTAAAAGTATACTCATGTTATAAACTCTGATATACTTAAATATTTTTATGGTTAGAAAAGAGGAAGTAGACTATAGAGTAGTAACTACAACATTTTAAAGTAAGCTTTTATTTTGCTTAATGCGTTTAAATATTGATTAAAAGGTCGCTTTACACTGAAACAAAAGGACTGAATAAATTAAAATTAAATGTAGTAAAACAATGGTAAATTTTTGATATCCCAGTGAGCAGAAATCTTACTTTCTGACGTTTTCTGACTTAATGTTGGTCATATATTCAGAGTGAATAAATAAATAAACTAAATAAACACACGTCTAAATTGCATAAAGGAACAAGGGAAAATATTTAGTTCAATTAAAATCAAAGTTAAAATAGGTCTAATTGTGTTATTGTTATGTGAACTTTTTGTCAAACGGCTTCTGTATTAGAGGACAACATTTGTATTTGTGTGGCTGTGAAAAACGTTAAGTTTGAATTATGAAAAAGTCCAAAATATCATTGGAAAGATTCAGCTAATTAATACATATAAATGAACCAGTAGAGTCGAAACATGAATACATATGTGTGTGTTAATTGTCCGAAAAAGAACACTGTTACGTGTGGTTGTTTGGATAGACAACCGAAGCTGGATAAACAATCAGGAATTCTTTTCTATTGAGGAATTTAGAATTTTGTGAAGCGCTTCCACCACTCACCTTTCTTTATGGTTGGAAAGACCTTTCTAAATTATTTTGATGTCGGTTTGGTGGTATTTAAATATAACATGTACCGCTAATGAGGATTTGATCTGTAGATTTTTCCCTTCTACAAGAGTAATAGATCTTTTGTATAGCTTAAGTGTTCTTTGGTAGGAGTCAAGATTTTATAAGAAGGCTCTCCAACATAGAACGCATCACAATCGACACAACTTGTAGACACAATTCTGTGTATATGTAATACTTACTTACTTACTTACGACTGTTACCCTTCGTGGAGGAGAATAGGCCGCCCACCAGCGTTCTCCATATAACCCTGTCCTGGGAAATCCTTTCCAGTTCTTTCCACTTGTTATTCAACCCTTTCATATCTGCTTCTATTTCCCGGCGTAATGTGTCCTTTGGCCTTCCTCTTTTCCGTTTCCCTTCAGGATTCCAAGTTAGGGATTGCCTCTTGGTGCAGTTCGGTGATTTCCTCATTGTATGTTCGATCCACTGTCTTGGCGTCCGTATTATAGATTCTCACTTTGATATTGGATGACAGTTGTTTTGAGCTCCATATGTTCCTCACTTGTAAAAAGAGGTCCTTGTTTTGTCAATCCTCGCCTTAACATCTGCATCAGATGCTCCTTGTTTATCAATGATGCTTTCCATTTAGGTGAATATTTCCACCTCTTCCAGAGTTTCGCCATCAAGTGTGATTGGGTTGGTGTTCTCTGTGTTGTATTTGAGGATCTTGCTTTTTCATTTGTGTATGTTGAGGCCTATTAATGCAGAGGCTGCTGCTACATTTGCTGTCTTCATCTGAATTTGTTCGTGTGTATGAGAGAGGAGGGCTAGGTCATCTGTGAAGTCCAAATCGTCTAATTGGTTCTGAGATGTCCATTGTATTCCGTGTTTCCCCTCAGATGTCGAAGTCTTCATAATCCAGTCACTCACCGGAAGAAAGAGGAAGGGAGAGAGTAGGCAGCCTTGTCTGACTCCGGTCCTTACTAGAAATGCATCTGTCAGCTGTCCTCCATGCACGACTCTGCACTGTATTCCGTCGCATGAGTTCTGGATAATGTTGAAAATCTTTTCAGGAACTCCATAGTGTAGAAGAAGTTTCCATAATGTTCTCCTGTCCATAGTGTCAAACGTCTTTTCATAGTCAATGAAGTTGATGTATAGTGACGAATTCCACTCAACTGATTGTTCAACGATGATCCGTAGTGTCGCAATCTGGTCTGTGCACGACCGATCCTTACAGAATCCCGCCTGTTGATCTCGAAGTCCAGTGTCTACTGCGTCTTTCATCCGGTTCAGCAACACTTTGTTGAAAAGTTATCTTGGTACTGACAACAAAGTGATGCCTCTATAATTCTCACATTCGCTCAGATTTTTTGTCTTTTGGTATCTTGATGAGGTATCCTTCTTTCCAGTTCGTTGGCAATTGTTCCTCTTCCCAAATCTTCTTGAATAGAAGGTGAAGCATGTTTGCAGTTACTTCAATGTCTGATATATTGTCAGATCCTGCCGCTTTCTCACTTTTGATTTGTCTGGTGGCCATCTTGACTTCTTCGATCGTTTTTGGATTGACATCTATAGGAAGGTCAGTGTGTGCTGCCTGGATATCCGGTGGTTTTAAAAGAGCTGGCCTATTCAGCAGTTCCTCAAAGTATTCTGCTCATCTTTTCTTCTGTTCTTGAATCTCAGTGATTTTCTTTCCTTCCTTGTCCTTGAGTGGTCTCTCCGGTTGCTATATCTCCCTGCCAATTTCTTCGTTGTATCATATAGTTGTCTCATATTCCCTCCTCTTGCAGCTCTTCCGCCGTCGTTGCTAGTTCTCTCACGTATTTCTGCTTGTCGCCCTAATGCTTTTGTTCACTTCCTTGTTTGCTTCTGCGTAATATGCTTGTGCTTTGACTTTCTCTGCTCGTGTTCGACTGTTGTTAATCGTCATCTTCTTGTTCTTCCTTTCTTGTATCTTGTCCAGGGTTCCCATAGAGATCCATTCCTTGTGATGATGCTTCTTAGGACCCAGAACCTCCTGACAAGTTTAAGTTAGTGCTTCTTTTATCCCTTTCCAGTTGTCCTCCATCGTAGTTTCCTGTTCTTTCAGTAGATCCTGTAGAGCTTGAAACCTGTTGTCGAGAGTTATCTTGAATTGGTTGAGCTTGTCAGTATCTCGAAGGAAGGCTGTATTGAACCTCTGAGGGCTGTTTGTCCAGTTGTTCAGTGTTTCTTTAGCTCCAGTCTCATATTGGCCACAACCAGGTGGTGATCTGAAGCTATGACAGCCCCTCTCCGGGTTCTCACATCCTCAATTGTCCTTCGGAACTTTTTGTTGATACAAATATGATCTATCTGGTTCTCTGTTATGTGGTCCGGCGAGATCGATGCAGCTTTGTGTATGCACTTGTGTGGGAATATTGTGCCTCCTATAACCAATTTGTTGAATGCACATAGATTTGCAAGTCTCTCCCCATTTTCATTTCTCTCTCCTAGTCCATGTCGTCCAATTATATATTCATATCCTGTGTTGTTCACTCCAACTTTAGCATTTAGATCTCCCATCAGGATGGTGAGGTCCTTTCTTGAGCACTTCGATACGATTGATTGCAGCGTCTAGTAGAACTTATCTTTATCGTCGTCGTTGATATCATTGGTGGGTGCTCAACATTGGATAACATTCATTGTGTTCCTCTCCTTCTTTGTTTTGAACGATTCCTTGATTATCCTGGGTCCATGAGATTCCCATCCTACAAATGCATTTCGTGCTTCTCTGGTCAGCATTAGAGCAACTTCCTGAGTGTGTGGAGCGTTTTCCCCTTCGTGACCGGAGTACAGCAGCATCTCTCTTGTGCCTAGCCTTTGTTATCCAGTTTGTGTCCAATGGGTTTCGCTGATTCCGAGTACTGCCAAGATGTATCTCTTCATTTCCATTGCTATTTGTCTGATCTTCCCTGTCTACCACATTTTCCGGACGTTCCATGTACATATAAAGAGTGTTGCTCTGGTTGTTCGAAGGGGCATCGTCCTCGTGACTTCCGAAGAATTTCGATTTTCACCATTAGGCGTCATAATTATTCCTCCAACTCCCAGAGCAGTGTTTGAATGATTTGAATTATTTTTTCTGATTAGCGTTTTTTTGCGAGTTAGTTTTTTCACGGGGTGGGGTCGCTAATCTCATGCCCAACCCTCCTCCTTTACCCGGTCTTGGGACCGACAGTAACCCTAGAAGAGCTACGGGCGAAGTTTGTTTTATATACGAACAGGTTCTTTTCCTGAATCTGAACTAATTTATTTTGAAGAGTGTTAGTTGTTTTATACGAAACATTGGTTTTTTATATCGCAGTGGTTTGGAAAATGTAGGGTACCAATACAGCTTATTTCATTCGAACTGTCGTTTCTAGATGAACGGTCACGTTCTAGCATTTATATAAGAATATTCACAGGAAAATTAAGTCGCAAGCAGTTTATTATGTTATCACTTTCTTTTGGGGCAATGACCTTCGAAGTTCATCTAAATAAACTCAGAGCCAGGGACAATTTTGCTCTGGACAAGTGTGGAGAGCTGAAATCGATATATCGATTTGAACGGATCCGTTCTCCGTATATTGTTGAATTAAGATTTCCATTAGAATTTTTCTTAACTAGACAGTCCAAGAATGGTAGTTCATTGAGTCCATCTTCCTTTTTGGAAGTAAATTTATTGTGATCTGAAAAAAGTGTTTATCATTTTAGAATGGTTTCTATGGAAAGTATTTTTATTGATGACAAATGGGGTATCTGGATAGTTGCTTCTGACATATGGCCTGATGGTACAGGTAAAAGTAAGCAACGTAATATGAGACGTAAACAAATCGACAACAATGGACGTTACGCGAGATCTCACAGTCATTCTATTTGTTTGTTTAAACTTCCTTCGGATATGAAAAGCGTTAAATCCAAGCATAGTTTTAAAAAATTTCATGTTTAGATTAATGCTGAAAGAAAATTTGCTAGGTGGAGTATTATTATCCATTGGTAAATCAACCGATAAAATCTAAATACTCATCAACAAGAATACTAATTTATAAAGATACAACATCGGAGATTACAATTGTCTGTTTCTGTTTCATAGATAATTTCAAAAATTGTGAATTCAAAAGATATGAGTCTTAACAGATATTGTGTAGGTTCCGTTAAAAGATCTCTATAAGTATCAACGAATTTATATATATATATATATATATATATATATATATATATATATATATAATTTCTTGAACTCATTTTTAGTCTGTTGAATCGTTATATGAAATTTTGAGTTATTATGAAACATGTACAGGATTGTGTTTGGCTCGTAACCCTAATGTTACGTCTACCGGCTGGATTCCTGTCGCTTTTCTATTTCGAGAAGTAAGTGAATATGTTCATTTAGTATTGTTTGTTTGAATCTTCCCATCGATGTGTTAGGACTGCAACTGGTCAGTCTCTAATTGGCATATGTGCAAACTTCACCCCATCGCACAAGCAAGTGGCTATCGGGACTCCGTGGCCGAGTGGATAACGCGATGGCGTTTGAAGAGAACGTTACTGGGTTCGAGTCCTAGAGTGAACATCCACTCTGAGATGCAGGTACATCCAGCTGACGAGTCCCAAATAGGACGAAACGCGCGTCCTGGATTCCACTGTTAGTCACTATCCATCTCTGCTTAAGTGAATATGTGTTTGGTTAGACAGTTCATTTCTTAATTTAACAAAAGACTACTATTATATCTTCTGTCATTATTTTCTGACCACTTTTTAAAAAAATACAACGTTCTGCTCATCATTATTAATTCCTATTTATTATTTTCCTTGTTACACCAAAATTTTTTGTTAGTAAATTTAATATTGAATAACAAGTGTTTTTTGAGTGTTTATATCTTATAATTTGACGGTTTTTTGATTAACATAAGGTTTAAGGTGAACCGCTCATGCTCCTACTTTACTGTAGTTTTATATTTAATTAGTCTGCATCATTTTAAAAACTGGATGCAGAAACCATTTTGTTCTAGTTTTCTTCTCCTATTTCTCCTTGCATTATTTCATAGTATTTTATTGTTCTTCAATTCGGCTTTATCATTAGAAAGGTAATATTTACTAGTACACTACAAAAGTTCCTTAATGATTACATATTAACAGATTTCACTTTTATAACTTCTATCAAATTATTTATCATAAGATAAAGTGTATTTAATGAAATAGGTAATTTCTCAGCAACCAAATTATTTTCAGTCCTTTTGTATAAATAAATCTTATTAAGAGGTTCATTAAAAGTGTAATCTACAAATGGAACATCAAAACCTAGAGCATTTTCATTCAATTATTAATTTATTGATTACCTGAGCATTTCACCAATTCTTATTTTATTAAAGCATGTTTCAATACATTTTATATCATGTTATCTCTAAATGTCATAGCGAAAATATAAAAATGAGATTGACCATTTAGTACTGATTTGTTTCAGGTCACAATGATTATTAAGTTGAACGTAACCGTTAGGAAACGTCTTGATAGACTCTGATTGATTTTTTTCGACAGTGTCGGACAAATAGTTTGGCCATTAAATTCTGCTAAAACTAGCTATCACTAATACAGATTGGTCGATTCATTCCCTGTCTATCAACCTTAGTTTGCTTATAAACTAACTTAGTTTACTTAAAATCTAATTTTAAACCATTTTTACTGATTTTTTACAACTACATTAAAAATGCTTCTCTTACTCTAAAGTATTCATTTAAAAGATAACAGATAGTTGTTTACGGTGACCATGCGAAAAGGCTTATTCAGATTGAAGTAAACAATTGTATATGTAGTCACAATTTTGAATATTTTCAAAACCAGTTAAGTTTGTAACAGTGAATTCTGTAACTCAAAACAATTATATTTTAGGAACATTTTTGAGACGAAATTTCTTATTTCAAACACTTGCTTACTTACGCTTGTTACCCCTCGTAGAGGAGCGTAGGCCACCCACCAGCATTCTCCATCCAACTCTGTCCAGGGAAATCCTTTCCAGTTCTTCCCAGATGTTATTCATCCTTTTCATAAAATATTTCAAACAAAATTACTAATTGATATTGAGTGTTTAATTTATTTCTTTTATTGTAATATTTTCCATTTATTTATTAGGTGCCGTATATGGAATGGCTTGATTTAAGAGAGAACAACTTGGGTTTAACTTTTGTACAAATATTATCATCATCTCTTCGTATACCACGAAAAGAAGTTAAAACGAAACAGTTTAAAAAGGAAAGTTTTGATAATAATTGTAATCTCCTCTCCAAGAAATTATCTGATAAGGATATTTTCAAGATTTCTAAAGATGTATCGATTTCAGAATCGAATTTAAGATCATCAAAAACACTTCCTTTTCATTCACGTGGGTTACATTTGGGTTGTACAGGCATTAATGGGAAATTATTACATACACTGATTCCGGGATTTCGTTTGGGTTGTATTACTGATCTTCGATTACCCAACAATGGAATAACTGGATCTGATGCTAAATTTTTAGTGCCATTGTTACGTTATAGTTCACATCTGAAACATTTAGATCTGAGTAGAAATCTACTTGGGGTAGGTTGCCACATTAAAGTTTTACGTTGTTTTTGGGACTTTAAATATGCTTACCATGTTGTTTTTTTCTATTTATTTTTAACAGTTATAGTCTGACTGCTAATTAAACTAATAGTCACAATTATCTTAGTTAATAACAATATGTAACAATTAAATTTATAAAAATTTAAATCCTAATCAAAATAACGTAGAATTTTAATTGGTTACATCATGTACATAAATAGGAAAAAGAAGTAATGAAATAACATTGAAATTCCTACATCGTATAGTTCAGTTAAATGAATCCTTTCTGAATTGTTCGTTCAATATTATCATGCTTACTCTCAGTATGCACCATCGAATGAGTGACAGATTATATTTATCGATGAAGTTTCTACAAATTAAAATAATGTTTCTTTAAAACTATATATTTACAGGTGAATAACTCATTCATTTAGCTATCTTCCAAATAAAAGGCTAATTACAAACTGTTCATTTGAACATTTGTAGCATACATGATCTGTAGGATGAATTTCAGCACAAGTCAGCGTTTTAATGAATAAAAAGCAAACGAAAGACAATTGGGCAGGAATCTCGAACTAAACTTCATTAAAATGTATTGAAGGCAGAAGTTTTATATAATGGATTCCCCAGAAATTAACAAACCTTAAAAAGATGAAATGTATCGATATTCCAAGTGATATTTTTAGTTAAATTGTCAGCATATTAATTTCAAACTTGTTATAAAAATCCATACAGACTTTCTAAAGTATCATTGACTCGAGCCAAAGCATTAAACGTTCACAAATTACTTGAATAAATCGTTTGTTTATCATAATTTTCTGCAGTATTAGTCTAAAACAAGTCTCTTCTGATTCTTGTTAATGAATTCAAAGCTTATCTGTTGATGAATATTTGATCATAGTTTCGTATAGTGGTATTTATAGCTTGTCAATCATTCAATCAGATGTTTTAGGAGTAAAATTATTTACACTTTTATTGTTATTTGATAAGAAACAATTTATCTCATTTGATACGGTACAATATCCCATCAGATTCTTCGTTCAATGTAGAACAATGTTTTTTACTCATCCAACTACTTACTTATTTAAGCCTATTACCCTTCGTGGTGGATCATAGACCGCCCACCACCATTTTCCATCGAACTCTGTCCTGGACAATCCTTTCCAGTTGTTTCCAGTTGCTACTCATCCTTTTGATTTATGCTTCCAATTCCTAACTGTGTTTGTTTTTTTGTCCAAATAGTCTAGCTACATTCAAGTTGTCTATTGTATTGGAGGTCTTCATAATCCATTCAACTACCAGTAGAGAGAGGAAAGCGGAGGGTAAGCAGCTTTTTCTGACATCGGTCCTTACTGGACGCATCCAAATAACATAAAGTTATTCCAAACCAAAGGATTCAAAAATTATTTTAAACACTTTTGAAACAGTAATATAGTATAAAATATCAAAGCTTTGAAATTGTAAGAAGCAGTATTTAAGGTTATGCGATAGCATTAATGTGATTATGTAATTCGGTACTTGGATAGATTTGCACTACATAAACATTTTTATTTAGCTTTACATGCAGTCAAATAAATGAGTTAGTCTTAAATTCACTTCTATTGTATGAATAATTTCAGGTTTTTCACTGTCTAACTTGTGTTAATTTAGAGAAATATGCAGTAATATTTTATTCAGTTGATGTTTTCAATTAATAATTTGATTTTAACTTGCTTATTCAAGTGGTACATGTGATTTCATTGTCGTTTATTTGTCTGTTGTTGTTATTCATTTCAATTTACCTTTTCAATATTGCACTATATCAATAGAACATATTTAATGATAGTGTTCTTGTTTCGGCAATTTACATATATAATCTTGTCTCTAGTTAACTAGTGGCCACTTAACTAAAATGTATTTATGACTGTAGAAAAAATAGAAGCTTAGAATTGAAGCTTGTTGTTTTAAAGTTAGTTTCATTGTGCTGAATAGAAAATAAACATGTTTGACTGTTTAATAAGTAGAAGTAGAAGTTTTGTATTTTATATGATAAAAGCTATAAAATAAACATTAGGTTCATATCACATTGAAAACAGGTATTTACTGAATTTGTGAAACAATACAAATTTATGATTCATATAATCTAACACCTTTAACAAATATACCTTGCATTTATAAAGAACACTTTTATGGGTTTCATTCTATTCTTATTTACCAATGAACATTTTGGACAGATTGGAACGAATAATTAATCACTTCATTGGAAATATTTGCCCTTTTTGAAAACGATTATACCTTCCAAGATTTTGAAAATAAAATAGATACGTATGTATGTACAGAAATGCAGTGATGTATTATTCTCAAAGTTGGGCGAATCTTGTGCTTTCATAAGGATGTAATAAAAAATTTTTCGGCATATCTGAACTATTTTTATAAAAAAAACCTAAAATTAGTATGTTACTTTAGTTCTGTGATCAAAGCCGATCAAATGGTCCAGGATCGATAACCTATCAGCTTTTCTATCACTTTTGTTATAGTTTATTGGAGTGTATTCTGTATTCACTTGAAAACTAATGTTGGCTATACATAAGGTATCTTGTTCCACAAAAATATTTCTACACTTTAGTTTTTTTACAGCCAGATAACATACTTATTCAATCTATTATGTTTAGTTCCATTTGATTTTAGGGCGACACATAATTTACTAATTGGGTAACTCAGTCCACGAATGATTTTGTTAAATGCTGCTTATTACTGTTCTAACTAAATTAATAAAATGGAATTTGTTTGGTATTGAATGCTGACTGACACGGGGTATCAATCATCGATTTAACTGTTCCAAAGATGGATTATACACGAGTATTAAGTTTATCGGTTTTGTCAAGTTGTTCAATATAGAAGTAATGAAAATTTGTTTGTTATATGCATGTAGACGTATTTTTCTGTAATACGTTCTCCACGTATTCTGTTACAATTATGTTTTTTTAGTGTCGTTCATCGGAGTATTTCATAAACGACTAGTCCTATATCTGACGTTATTAGCTATAAGTGTTTTCACATTCTAACCACTTTATCTGTAGAATTATGCCAAAACAATATTTATATATAGAAATTATATTCATTGATAATTATCTTTAGAAAAGCTGGTAGATAATCTGATTAACGGAATAATCTTTGAATTTTACAAATCCTACTGTCACATATTATTATTATTATTATTATTAGCTTTATTCAATATTATATTTTTGGTACAATATAGAATTCTCATCACAAAGTACTTCAACAAGTTTCCGTTTCTTACTTCTTCATCCTTTCTGACGATAAATATTGGGTGATCGCCAGTTAGAAGTTAGCAGCCCAGTCAATCTGGATAATGTACTCAGAGTATATGATTGTTTTTCAGTTTGCTTGATAATTATTTTAGCACTTGAACTGGTAGAATATGTTCAGCTACTGGAATTTAATCAACTAAGGGGTCTTGTGAAACATTTGTCTACACCAGCTGAAATTTTGTGAGTGAGACGTTTTAGTCGTGCGTAGCTGGGTACTATCGTGAAAAATATTTATGTAGGTTCAGATTTTATTCATTTGTTCCAGAAACGTTTATTCAGGCTCAGTGACGTAGGCATACCGATATTGGCAAATCAATCTTATACTGTCACAACTACTTTATTAAAATAGAATTTGTGCAAACCGTGTGATTTAGAACCATTGGATCAAGCCTAATGCTTCTAAAGTGATGGAGAAGAAACGAAAAATTCGAACAAACCATAAAAATATGGAAATTTTATGCTGATATTCACAAAAGTAAATTGATCCCAAAAGGATGTTCTAGTTTAACGAATGCCTGTAAAGTATACATGTACTTGAGGATTTTGCTGGCTATAATTGTGTGGGATGCGCAAGCGAAGAGTATTGGTGACCATAAGGTTGGAGTTAACATGTCTTTCATCCATATTTGAAAGTTGTATAAGATCTCAAATATTATAAACCTAGATTTGAGGGATATTGAAATACATACCTTTGCAACTACTGAGATGATTTTAGACTTTAAGCGAGCCTAATGATAACTCATTTCAATTTTAAGGTAGTTACACATTTTGAGAGAATAATGTAAGTAGAAACTTTATTGAATAGTTCGACAAATAAATGACCGTTAACTACCATGAGTATTTCCCAAGGTAGACTATAACATATGTGTTAGCAGTTAATTTTCTTTGTATCATACATATGAAGTTTAGTGAATTATTGTTTATTGCTTTTTAATTCTTTTTAAAATGGAGAACTTATTTCTTTAAATACATTTTGTCAATATTTTTGAAAACTGGATTGTGAATGTCACACAAAACGATCTAATCGTGAAAATTTACTACACAAATTTATAAACTCTCCTGATGTATCCAATATCAGTCGTTTTTATTTATTCGTTCTGTTTAACATTTACATTTCACTTATTTATTTCTGTAAAAGGTGATTTAATTATTAAAATTAATGACAATGGAGTTTATAACAGATTGTTACACATCTAATTTAGAATAAATTTTTTAAAAATCACTTTATCAAGTTAAGACTAAGTTATATAAAAGACATTGGGAAATGTTGCTCTCTTTCCTAAGATAAATACATATGTAACCATAGAGAGAAAGAAAAGTGGAAAATATTCACATGGAGATAATCTTTATTTTTTAGATCCTCATTGTTATCATACAATCAAATGAACTAAAAAGTACGCTCTTACATTCGAATGATCCATAATTGTAGTCATTTAGAAAAAAAAGTAGAACAATGTAAACTTTCTTTGCAATACGTTTTTAACGACATCTTTTTCATGATGTATCTTATCAATACTTCACAGTATTAATAATAATTTTATGATTGTAACCTAATTGAGCTTCAAAGTAGATATTACACATACCTTAATATACTATTTCTGAAATTTCTTCTATAAATAAGTAAAAGGATTATTTATGTTTACTATTAGATATGCATTCTAAACAGAAATCTAACCGACTTCATTTCAAGCTTTGATGGTATTGATCATCAAGTGAATAATATGATCTACTTTTATGTGTATAGATTGAAATTTAAATAGGTTGCCATGAATATGTATTTAGTCAAGTTAATATATACTTTTATTAAAGTATAAAATTGATATTCATCGAATAAAAAGCACTATTATTATTTCAAACACATGTATTATATTATTACTGTAAATAGAGGTAAATAAAGAAACCTATTAAGTTTTATAGTTTTCAAATTACATAGATAAGTTGTAGTGCCGCGATTCGTTAATCGTTTACTTCGATAACCGTTATGATTCTAATCTTAACGGTGCGTAACATCAGAAGACAAAGGATAGCAGCAACTACAGTTTATTGTCGAATAACTCAGGTCAGAAAGCAAACAACACCTGAGCGAATATCAACGAGCGAGCGAGCGACAAACGAGAGAGCGAGTGAATAGGCGAACAAGCGAAGGAAACGAACGAGGCGAATAGCAAGCAATTACATAGGCAATTTATAGTCAGATTTAATAAGGGCACAGCAAAGCAAAACAAAGGCTGATAATAATATTTGCGTGCGTACACATATGGAGAGGATTATGAGTCATCGAATGATAATTAAGCAGTCAACATTTCGGATAGAGTGTCATGTGCTTTAGTGTTATAACAGTGCAAAGAATATGCAAATTGTTACTATCCAAAGGACAATGTCTGTTAAGTAAGTTATAAAAAAGGGCTTAACCAAAATTGGCTATAATCGAAATTGATTGTAGGATGGTTGCTATAATGTATTTGATTAGGATTTTTTTGTTGTAATTAATGAAATACCTATCCCATAAAAATCATTTAATAATAATAATAATAATTTATGAGAGTTTCATGCATTAAAAAAATAAAAAAAACTGATTTTAATGATCACATATTGTGATATATATTAAGTAAATATTGGTTTACCGTGAACTCATCTTGTTTCCATTTGATTGTTGTTGTTTTTTATTGTAATACTGATGATTGATTTTTCTTTTTTTTTTGATAAATAGTACATTTAGTCATATTTTCAAAAATAAAAATAAAAAAGTATGTTTTATTAAAAATTAACAAACTATCAATATTAAATAAAACAATAGAATAAAGAAAATATGTTAAAATACTGAAATTTATTTTGTTTGTTTGTTATCAAATCATATGACTTTTTATTGTACTTTCTAACCTGAATATATTTTCAATTTTATGCATTTATTTGCTTATATATTTGTTTGTCTTAAGAACTTACATGAAAATCTTATTTGTTTGTTAAAAAAAGGGCAATTGGTATCTTTAAATTTATAACAGTATTCTTCATAGATGTAAATAAACTCCATTAATTAATAATAATGTCTAACAAATAATTGTGTTATTGTCAGAAGGGGTTTTGTAGAGATTTCGGTATTTTCATAGTTGAAAGCATGAGTTAATTGAAGCTAGACCACCATAGAAAACCTGGAAGCACTGAACGTCCGTTCCGTCCTATTGTGGGACTTTTCAAAAGTGCACATCCACGATCTCGCACTAGCGAGACTCGAACCCAGGACCTACCAGCCTCAAGCCAGAGCACTTAACCGATAGACCACCGTTTGGCTCATGCTTCCAACCATGAAAATAATTGTGTATTTATACACGGTAATTGATAGTTGGATTTGAAAGAAACGTTTAACTAAATACTTGATTTTTACTTAGTAAACAAAAACAGTTTCTAGTTTTAGTTGGTATTTTCACATTTCCTGTCTAAACAAAATAAAATGGAATAATTACAACAGTTTACTAACAACACTAATTTCAAATAGACTTTTTGTAGAATTCTTCAAATGTCTTGAAATGTATGTACATAACTTTGCGACAGTTAGCTGATTCGACTGATATCCTATACGAGTTTGTGGAATTAGTCATCTTTTCAGAAGCTAGTCAGACGGGTTTTTTTGAAGTTGCTGTAAGGTAAATGTTGGCGCACATAAGCTGTCAGGAGAATAAGAAAAGATTCATAATCAAGTTATCGGGTTAACAGAAAGCTATACTGCAAAAATACTCATTTTTATATGTGAAAATGAAGTCTAGTTAATAGTTCATTTTTGCAACTTAGCCTGTAGAGATTTGCATTTGTTATTCAGATGACGACATAACATTGATTTCAGCTTTTGTGTGGATTTCAGTCAATATCTATTACATCTAGGGAGAATATATATCATAATAGTCGATAAATCATTGCTAGCGGTTATCATTCATTTAATCTTCGTTCGGATATGACACTATTCTTATTCACTTCTTTACTATCTATATCCATAGTTTAAATATAAGTGGGAGTTTCATGACTGGATACATTGATAAACACTGTTGAAATTACATATTTTGTAACTTCTTAATCAGAAGAAAGTTAGTTTTACAAATAAATGATACGCTTAGACAATGAAACCACTTCACTTACATATATATGTGTATATTCAGTCATTGTAAGTATCAAAAAATAAAAAACGACTTGTAATCTACGCTTTAAAGAAGCCTCTTTATAAAAAATATAACAGTCAGTTTCCAAGCTTGATAATTGATTGCTATTGAAATAGTTTTCTTTGATTAAATTCATCAGATAGTTCATCATAACCTCCTCTCATGTAGTTAATTTAGATTTTAGTTAAATTTAATCAACAAATAAATTTCACAATGAACTTTTCCATTTATATTATCAATGGAATGAAATTAGTCTGTAACAAGAAAAAGAAATTCGTCTGTTTCCGTGGCACTTATTTTTAATTTGCTAGTGAAACATTCATTTCGATATAATAAAAATAATTTACTGTTAGTTCATTTCAGTCGTTTCAATGAGATTTGATGTGTAATCGTGTATAAAATTATTTCTGTAAATTTATTGATCAAGAATTTCAAGATGAAAAACCAAATATGGATTGATAATGATGTCGATAAATTGTTACTATGTTAACTAATACACGTAGACAAGTTTTCACTTCATCAAATCATAGTAAAACGTAACCATAATTGAATAACTTTTCGATTAGCTTCTCCATAAAATCTGTTCACCTAAATACATTTTATCATTAATATTCTTAACGAGAAAGTTTGAAAATGCAATCACTTCAATTGAAGTTTTTCAGATAGGATATGCTTTAAGTGATCTGACAGGAATGGTAATAATAATCATTAGTCTTGGAATATATACACCACGTTATCGATGAAATGAAAATGTGACTAAATACGTAAAATCAGACCGCACCTAGCATTTTAATACATAATGTAATACTATTGGGTAAAACAAATGTCATGGTTGTGAAATGTGAAAAGTCAGCAAAGTTGTATAACAGTTTTTTTTCAAGTTTTAAAATCAAAAACACGGAAAACTTATCAAATTCCATTCCAAAAGCTTACTGATAATAGGAAGAAAGATTGAAAAATACATGACAAAAGCAAATAACTGTTGTGTGACACAATTCAGGCTGAAGAAAAACATAGGTTATAGAACAATAAAACAGGTCAATTCGATGGAAATACATATTGTGAATAATCTATGTTAATCGGTGGTCAAGTGGAAATGTGATATATCATCAGTTTCTTTTGTTTATTTACATATAGTCTCATTAGTTTGATCCGGACTGCATTAGCTGTATTCCTTAGATCGTATATATTAATTAATAGCCAAATATTAATGATTTTAATAGATATCATTAGTTGAGAAAGTGTTTTACTTGTATGCGAAACCTTTTCCTTTCAAAATAATAGATTTCTGTGTAAGTGATAATAAACGTTCAGAAATAATATTAATAATTTTATATCTCATTTGACTTCGTTTCATATAAAGGACTTGGGTTGTTCAACTATATCACAGGCATTAGCTTCACCTTGTTTTTCATCCGAAATTCTCAATTCAGATGAAAATCAACGCGGTTTAATCCGATTGTTTCTATCAGAAAATATGATAACCAGATCAAGTATGAGTAAATTGGCAAGTGGCCTAACACGCTGCACACGTTTAACAACGTTACAGTTATCTGGCAATTTAAATATTGGCTCTTCCGGTTTATTTTATTTGAAATCAAGTCTTATCAGTTGTCCATGTTTAAAGCGTTTGGGTATTGCATTTTGTGGTATTGATCATGATGGTGCAGCAAGTATTAAGGAGATATTAATGGAAACAACATTCCGTTTCAAAATAATAGATTTGACAGGAAATCCGATTGGCCTAGAAAATTGTTTAGCCCTCCTAAACTCTTCAGCTTATTTGGATGGAAAAGTTAGAATAATTGGTTTAGGTAAGTTTGATTTTATTTAAACCATATATAAAAATTTATATGAACATATACATAAATGCTTATGTTCAATTGTGTTTTAGAGTTTCAACCTTCATCGTTAATGCAATATGCGAGACAGTTGTCGGATAAAGAAAATAATAGTTTTTTACATCAGAGTAATGTAAGTAGTATATTTGATTTATTTTCTTAGTCATTTAGGTTTCTCCTATGAGTGAAAATTACTGTGCCATTGTTAATTTAGGTAGATATTTGACCAGGTTTAAAGTATGTAATAAGCAATTGATTTGTCGTCAGACAAGTTTTCATGTTCCTAATACAAATGAAACACTTGAGCTAAAGTTCTATATCTGAACTAAAATGAGTAGAATACTCAGTGTCAACATCCAGTCTTCATCAGATTTCATTGATTATTTTCGATATGAACTAGAATTAACTAATTTAACCAAATTTCTAATTAAATTTCATACTGAGCATATCAGTTAGTATTGGTTCTCTTGACAGGTGACAGAAAAAATCGCTTTTTAATAACTGAAATATAAATCACTCCGGAAAATTAGTCGGCTATTTTGGTGATTTCGTACTTTTCTCAGATGTTTATGTATTAAGAACGCGTTTACTTACACATAAAATTGACTGAAAATACTTACGGTAATGATAAAAATGGTCTTATTTGGTCTTCTATGTTTTCGGAAGCATATTCTATTTTTTATGTAATCGAATCTTTAATTTACATTGGTGTCCCAAGTTCTAGGAAAAGTTAATTGCTACATGCCACTCATATGTTGGGAATCATTTCTATTTCCCAGTTCATTTTAATATCTAAAAACAAACTATTTTATTTCGACTTTGAGTTTGTTCAGTTATTATTCAAGTATTTTTCCGTTGTAGTCCGGTGATACTTGCTATAAATCATTCGCATTACGTATGTTTAATATAGATTTTCGTTTTAATTAATTATCTATCTCTTAGAACTGAATGTAGAAATTGATATATCTATTTATGAACTTAAACTTCATGTACTGAAAGCAGAATATTTTCTTTACATAATGGTCTTTCTAACTGTTTTTTATTTTAATATCAGGATAATTCGCATGTTCAAAATAATTTACTAAATCCAGATCGAGATTATCAACGACTTAAAAATAAGAATCGAAGACATTCTCACATAATTTCATCGAAACATTCAAGTTATGGGAAAACTAAATTCTCCTCAATAACTACAATCGACTACCATCATAAATCACATTCAGGACTCAATCCGCAATATTTGTGGGGTGACAGTTCAGATGATGACAATAGAATGAATAATACTGATGATGACAATGTATCGGTGGTTGCAAAAAGAAACAGAAATTACCTTTCAGAACAAATTAATAGACAAACTAGAGAAAATGAATGGACAAAACATTATTCTATCAGTTGAACTGCATAAGCAATTCCATGAGATTCAAATATTTTGTGGAATAATTCCTCTCCCTATCTTAAGTCTTGACTAAATTGTGTTGAATTTATACAAATGTATCATATAAACTTGAATAAGGCAAATTGCAAAGCTCTTACTGTGTACTTGCATCACTTATGTAAATTCATCAGATTTCTGTCAACAATCTTTTCATATGAATATATGTATTTTTCCACAACTCGGTTTCCTTAGACTTACTATAAATCTTCGAAATTTCAATGTTTAACTAATGATTATTATCATGCTAAGGTAAAATTTGAACCATAAATTTAAAAAAATAATGAAACTTTTCACTGATAATATTTCCATTGATAAAAACTCCCATGTTTATACCCGGATTTGAAGTAGGGTATTTATGTCATTGGTGTTGGAGTGTAGAAAAAGTCTTTTTTCTGAATCAAAAGTATATATATATATATATATATATATATATATATATCAAAGTACTGTTAACCAGTATCAGATACGTTAAATTTTATCCCACTGGTAATTTATCTGTGCTGCTGGAAAACAAATATCGTCTTCACTCAGTCACGCTTGGAGGACTTTAAATAGCTGTAGCCAAAATAGTGATGTTATGATACTTTAGATTGAAAACAAATTAGGATTTACACGACTAGTCGATAACTGAAGTGGTTTACAGCATTTTAAATAGTTAATAAATTCAGATAATAATAGAATGTAATGAATAATAATTAGCTTTCACTTTTCACATTATTCCTCTACCAATTCGAATGGCGGCTTTTATAAGTATTTCTATTCACTTAGGTTTTGCGAGGTGTTTTTGACTTGGAAAATTTGTGCAAACCAATCTGTATTCATCAACGGTCAGTATTTATGAATAAAACTATTTACAAGAAAAACGTACACTCAGATAATTATGTACTAACTATAAATATGTAATATTAATATAGGCCAAATGATTTCTGATCATTGTACTGTAGAATGTACCCATCAAACTTTTAGATCTGACAGAGTGCAAAATATTTTGCCATTATATTGTATTTCTGATGATTTAGAAATATGTAAAAACTACAAAGAAAACGTTGAAAACCTAGTACTTTTTTCGAAATAATTTATAGCACAGTATACAACAAATTGGATACTTGAGTAAGAATACAAATAATCTCTTTAGTACATATGTGAATTGAGTTACGTAATGTTTCGTGAAATTCCTTAAGACTCGTTACAAGACTAACATGTCATAAAATAGGTCTTTTCAAATGGATCAAGACTTTCAGTGAGACCTCGAAAGACTTAGGGTATAATGCTTATCCAACATAACTGTTAACCTTTAATGCCGGCGAAAACATCAAGATAAACAGTTGATGGTTTTGGACATATTCAATAATTAAGAAGCTTTGTAGACGGAACAATAAAGTCATATGACTTTTGTGATATTTACAACAAAATATTTAACTATAGTTTAGACGTAGTTGCAATTTATTGTCATTTACGTAGTCAAATCCCATATTACAAGACAGCTAAGTATTGTAACGATGTTATGTTTACTTGACAGTTATGTGAATGAAAGATCATCACCGAATATATATCAATAAACTATTTACAGATTTAAATCTTAAAATTTAAAGCTAATGAATTAATTTTATTTGTTGTTGTTTGCTTGTATATTCTCACTGATGTTCAGGACTGCAATTGATCAGTCTCATATTGGCATATGCGCATACTGTGCATATTGCCTCGCTATAGCCTTAATTCACAATCGTTATAAGCAAAGGTGGATAGTGGTCAGAAGTGGGATCCAGGACGCGCGTTGCGTCCTATTTGGGACTCGTCAGCCGGATGTACCTGCATCACAGAGTTCATTTTCACTCCGGGATTCGAATTATTGTAGTGAAATGATCAACAGACTTATAATTTATAATTAAATTTATTGGTTCTAATTTATTCAAAAGTCCACCTATAGTTCTTCTAGAGTTACTGCCGTTCCCAAGACCGGGTAAAGGAGGAGGGTTGGGCATGAGGTTAGCGACCCCATCCCATAGAAAAGCTAACTCGCAAAAAAACGCTAATCAGAAAAAATAATTCAAACGAATTAAACTCTGCCCTGTGAGTTCAAGGAATAATTATAACGCCTAATGATGAAAATCGAAATTCTTCGGAAGTCACGAGGACGATGCCCCTTCGAACAACCAGAGCAACACTCTTTATATGTACATGGAACGTCCGGAAAATGTGGTAGACAGGGAAGATCAGACAAATAGCAATGGAAATGAAGAGATACATCTTGGCAGTACTCGGAATCAGCGAAACCCATTGGACACAAACTGGATAACAAAGGCTAGGCACAAGAGAGATGCTGCTGTACTCCGGTCACGAAGGGGAAAACGCTCCACACACTCAGGGAGTTGCTCTAATGCTGTCCAAAGAAGCACGAAATGCACTTGTGGGATGGGAATCTCATGGACCCAGGATAATCAAAGCATCATTCAGAACAAAGAAGGAGAGGAACACAATGAATGTTATCCAATGTTGAGCACCCACCAATGATATCAACGACGACGATAAAGATAAGTTCTACTAGACGCTGCAATCAATCGTAGCGAAGTGCTCAAGAAAGGACCTCACCATCCTGATGGGAGATCTAAATGCTAAAGTTGGAGTGAACAACACAGGATATGAATATATAATTGGACGACATGGACTAGGAGAGAGAAATGAAAATGGGGAGAGACTTGCAAATCTATGTGCATTCAACAAATTGGTTATAGGAGGCACAATATTCCCACACAAGTGCATACACAAAGCTGCATCGATCTCGCCGGACCACATAACAGAGAACCAGATAGATCATATTTGTATCAACAAAAAGTTCCGAAGGACAATTGAGGATGTGAGAACCCGGAGAGGGGCTGTCATAGCTTCAGATCACCACCTGGTTGTGGCCAATATGAGACTGGAGCTAAAGAAACACTGAACAACTGGACAAACAGCCCTCAGAGGTTCAATACAGCCTTCCTTCGAGATACTGACAAGCTCAACCAATTCAAGATAACTCTCGACAACAGGTTTCAAGCTCTACAGGATCTACTGAAAGAACAGGAAACTACGATGGAGGACAACTGGAAAGGGATAAAAGAAGCACTAACTTAAACTTGTCAGGAGGTTCTGGGTCCTAAGAAGCATCATCACAAGGAATGGATCTCTATGGGAACCCTGGACAAGATACAAGAAAAGAAGAACAAGAAGATGACGATTAACAACAGTCGAACACGAGAAGAGAAAGTCAAAGCACAAGCATATTACGCAGAAGCAAACAAGGAAGTGAACAAAAGCATTAGGATTGATTGTCCCACAATGATCCGTAGAATTGTGATTTGGTCAGTACACGATTGATCCTTCCTGAATCCAGCTTATTGGTCTCAAAGTTGAGCGTCTACGCAGTCCCCCATTTTGTTTAACAATACCCTGTTGAAGACTTTTTCTGGTACTGAGAGAAAAGTAATTTCCCTGTAGTCATCACACTTGCTGAGATAGCCTTTTATGTATTTTGGTCAGAAGTCCTTCTTTCCAGTCTGTTGGTACTTGTTCTTCATCCCAAATCTTACTGAAGAGAATGTGGAGTATCTTGGCAGTTGCTGCTACATCTGTTTCAGTCCCTCTGCTGGAATGTTTTCTGGTCCTGCTGCTTTGCCGCTCCTGATTTGTATGACGGTCATGCTGATCTTTTTAATTGTTTGTGGGCCATCATCGGTTGGTAGGTCCTTGGGTGCCATTTCGATGTTGGCTGGGTTCAATGGTGCTGGTCGATTCAATAGTTCTTTGAAGTATTCTACCCACCTGTTTCGCTGTCTTTCAATGTTGTGATTACTTTGCCTTCCTTGTTTTTCACTGGTCGTTTTGGTAATTTCCAGCGAGCTTCTTTGGTGTTTCATACAATTGTCTCATATTTCCTTCTTTTGAAGCCTTTTCCGCCGTCATTGCTAGATTTTTCACATATTTACGTTTGTTGGTTCTGATGCTCCTTTTCACTTGCCTGTTTGCTTCTGAACTTCTATTGTAGGTAATTATAAAAATGATTCTTAATAACGTTCCATAGAAAATGATAAAAAATTTGAAATACAACTCAAATGGTAATTTACAATCATATTACAAACCAGTTTCGAAAATATTTACTTTCATTTTTTTATGTAAATACCATTTTAAATATAGACAGATTTGTTTTAATAATAAAAATAATTTCATTCGTCTTATTTATGAAGAATCATTTAGATGTTTCTCAACTAAAATAAATGTTGGTCGTCAAATTCCATTTCAGAATCATCGATTATGTTGCTGAATATAAACAAGTAGATATTTTTCTTGAAATCACTTACCAATCTAAGTAAGATCACAAAAATCACACTGAATAAATTGATTCTTTTCTCCGTTTATGCATACATGAACGTACATGATATCGCTTATATCAAAAAATGCAGACAACTACGGATATGAGTTTGATTGAGAAGACCTCGAAATTGAGGATTAATGGATTTCTGGAAACACATAATTCTATTCAATCAGAAATCAATAGACATGCCATCGTGGACCCATTTTATCGACCTATATATGAAAAGTCAGTTAATCACGTGTCGATAGGTTAACAGAATAAAGTGATCAGTAGGAATACAAAGATAAATTGAACCATCTAAACGTCTGAAAGAAAGCACTCACAGATAAGCTGATCAAAACGAGCTTATTTCTACTTGAACCAAAACAAACTAAGCTACATCTGTTGCTCTTCTAGGGTTACTATCCGTCTAAATCTCTGGTAAAGTAGGATTGTTGGGCATGTATTCGGCATCTCCATCCCGTAGAATTCATCTTCGCTGAAAAATCGCTAACAAGAATAAACATATTAAACCATTTCAGCTGTGCTGTCTGGACTGAAAGATCTTACGTCTGAAGAATTATGATGCCTCATGATGAATTCAGAGATTCTTCGGAAGTCACGTGGCCGAGGCTCTTTCTAACAACCAAACCAGAGCAACAATTTTTATAGGTACATGGAATGTTCAGACAATATGGCAGACAGGGGGGACTAGTGAAATATCTATGAAAATGAAGGGGTACAAGTTGGTGGTGCTCGAAATCCGTGAAACCCATCGAAAACAAGCTGGACAGAAGTGGATAGATTCAAGAAAGATGCTTCAGTACTCAGGTCATGCAGAAAATGCCCCATATACCCAGGGAGTTGCTCTGATGCTGTCCAAAAAAGCTCGAAATGCACATATTGTGAAGGAACCTCACGGACCCACAATCAACAAAGCATCTTTCAAAACAAAGAAGGAGGGAATCGCAATGAATGTCATCTACTGTAATGCACTCGCCAACGATATCAATGATGACGATAAAGATGAGTTTTACGAGAGGCTGCAATCGATCATTGCGAATTACTCGGAAAAGGACCTGGCCATCCTGATGGGAGACGCAAACGCCAAAGTCGTAATCGATAACACCATGTTTCAAGATATCATGGGATGATATGGACTGACTAGAAGAAGCAAGTGAGATTGGTAATAGATTTGCAAATTTATGTGTATTCAACAAAATGGTTATAGGTAGTACAATATTCCCACACAAAACTACATGTGTCTCAACAAGCCACATTACACGGAACCAGGTTGATCATATTTGTATTACTAAAATATTCACAAGTTCAGTGGAAGACGTGAAAACCAGAAGAGGAGCTGACATAGATTCAGATCACCACCAGATGGTTGTCAAGATGAAACTGAAACTAAAGAAGCATTGAACAACTGGGTTGAATACAGCCTTCATTCCAGCTACTGGCAGACTCAACTACACGTTCCAAGCCTTACTAGATCTGCAAAAACAATAAACTACTATGGTGGATAACTGGTAAAAGATGAAAGAATTATCAACTTAAATTGGTCAGGAGGTTCTGGGTGGCAACAAGCATCATCATAAAGAATGGGTCTCTTTCGAAACCCTGGACAAGATTCAAGAAAGAAAGAACAATAAGACAGAAATTAACGACAGCCAAACAAGAATAGGAAAAGTTATAACAGCTCACTTACAATTGAGTCTGTTCACATCTAATTTGGCCAAGCCCTTTTGTTATCTTATTTAACGGACAGAGTCATTCGTAAAATAACAACCTATCTATACTATTGTATCTTTATTATGCATGCTTCAGCATTGTTTACTGCCTACGCATATATTCATTTTGTTAGCCTTACTATTAATCGCTTAATTGATTCGGTGATTCATTCATTTCACTATGTATATATATGTACATTTTAATCCTGTTCACTGACTCGCTGACTCGTTTACTCGCACACTCATTCATTGACTCGCTGACCTGCTCGCTAATTCGACTAACTCGCTCGCTTGCTTTACGGCACTACTCTTTCATGCTTGCTTAACGTGCCTGTAATTTTGAAAATATGCGCGTGGTTCAATAATAAACGCAATCAACATTTCGTATTCGCCTTCTGATTTATACACCGTTGGAGCGTTATCGAGTAACAGTTATCAGGACAAACAATATACGAAGTTTAAGGATAATATCGAATACGAACCACCACAATGTCAAGACACAAGCTAAGTAAGCCAAAGTAAACATGCAAGTGAAGAGAAGCATTAGATCTGATAGTCAAAAATACATGGAAGACCTAGCACTGACAGCGGGAAATTCTGCAAGAGAATGAAACATGAATCAAATGCATGACATAACTAAACGTTTACGCACCTGGACACCATCATCGTTGAACAAATAGGATCCGATGCAGATGTAAAGACAAAGACTAGCAAAGTAAGGGCTAAATTCCTGCAGTTAAAAAGCATACGGAACTCAAAACAACTGTCTGCAAGCCAATATCAAAGTAACAATCTTCAATACGAACGTCAAGACAGTTCTGCTCTACGGAGATGGAAAATCCACAATTACTACAACCGCCATCAAAAACTTACAATTACTCACAAACTGTTGTCTGTGCAAGATACAAGATGTCTGTTGACCAGATACCATTAGCAACAACCTACTGTGATAGAGAACAAAGCAGCTTCGAGATGAAGAGGAGATTAGGAAAAGATGTTAGAAGTGTATAGGTCATACATTGTGGAAATCATCAAACTGCATCACAAAGCAAGTGCCAACTTTGAATCCCGACGGGAAACGGAAAAGAGGAAGAGCAAAAAACACACTTCTCCGATAATCGGGAGCAGAAATCAAAAGGATGAATAGTACTGGGAAGAACAAAAAAGGACTGCTCAGGACAGGATCGGATGGTGCATGTTGGTGAGAAGTCTATGGTCTTCCATGAGGGTTAACAGGTGTAAATGAGTAAGTAAGTTAAGTAAACTAGCCACTGTCGTTTAAGTTATTTGTTGATAAATGGGTCGAATTAGTTAGAATACTGGTTAATCATAAGTTTTATCAATTTTCCTGACTGACAAGACAAATTCTATGCTTTATTTATTTAGGAATTTTTGATTATCATTCTTCGACTCCATTGTTTTCTTTTAAATTAGACCTTAAACATTTAATTAGTAATTACTGTTTGTTTTAATAATTCCATTGTGCTTTTTTCGCTTTTATTCTCATTATATCCCCTCCCTAGAGTTGTGTAAACTAGGATAAGTCAAACCGATATTTTGTTTATGTCCGGTTCTAGGTTTTCCATGCGCGATAACTGGATGGTATTTATTTAAAACCTACTTAAAGTTTCATCACAGTTTCTTTAATTTTTTATATTTATTGCAGTTAACTGAAGTTAATTCTTTTGTCGATAGCTTTCCATACCTTCATTTAGATCAAATAAAATTCACGCTTTAAGATACTTCACAATGTTAGATGTTATACTTGATCGTCACAATAAATCCATACTGCCTGTGTTTTTCTTCATTTTTTTACAAACGTTTGGATTATTTATTTGTCTTAGGTTGTCTAACATCAATTATTGGTGTAATTATTATTTGTAGTTTCATATCATTCGATAATTATTGGCTTGCTTGAATAGCTTGGCTACCTGTTCCTGCCATCTGGATATTTAAACTAGTTATCTGTTTCCTTGTTTGTTTTAACAGATCATTATGTTGATTAATTGCATAACCTTTTCAGATGCGTTTGTGAAGAGTTTACAACGTTTCACTGTACAAATTACAAAAATTTACAATCGGTGATATCATGATGGCTGGCATCGTACATCGAAATGAATGCATTCACATGTCGATCCCTGAACTGCTAACATCTAATTGGAGATCAACTTATTAGTTATCGTTAGGATCGATCAAAAAATAGAAAAAAACAGAAACTCGTTGAAACACTTTGCTCTGAGAATTCTATATTTATTACCGAGATTATAATATTGAATAAAGCTAATAATGTTTACATTAAACTAGATGTCATCCATTTGTATTCGAGAACAATATTCAAACTACCTATCCCATTTGAAACTAAATTTGTTGATCTATTTTTACCATCACCTCTCTAGTATGTTATGGCTTTTTTATGAAATATATTACACTGAATTATTCGATATGTAATTTTCACAGCTTCAAATCACAAACTGATCTTAATGAAACCGTCATCGTCACAATAGAACGAAACGGTCGTCCAGTGCTTCCAGGTTTTTCACGGTGGTCTAGCTTAAATTAACTCATGAATTCAACTATAAAAAAACATATGAATGCCATACATTAAACAGATCATTTGAACATCTTTCTTCAGTTGTCCTTTGCATAACTCATTATTCTAATGTTATTTTAATTGCTCTCTGTGTGACTTCCTATTTTCTTTATTTCAATTTTTTGTTAGTAAGCATTTCGCTTCCTATTCCTACTACATACTACTTATATGTGTCTTCATAAGTAACGCACATTACACTATTACATTAGAAGGATGATATCATTGAATCTGTATACCATAGTTAAATGATTAATATTTTAGTTTCATCAACCTACTAATCATGAATGATTACTTTTTTGTGTTACGGGTAGCATATATTCTTTATATTACACGCTTACCTTCTTGTCTAAGGTTTTTAACATTTAATTTCAAATATTCAATAGAAATAAATCACGACTGAATTGGCTTGCAATCGGTCCAAACTCATTCATTCAATATTCTGTTAAAAGAAATCATACTAAAGTCATTAAAAAACTATATGAATGATATATACTATTGGGAGTTTTACAATTAGATGCAGACATATGAGATATTATAAAACACATTAAAAAATGGAACAAAATAAAAATTACGAGCGAAAAACTCCAATCTGTCTGGTACACTTGACTAGCCTGGTGGGCATTGATGATTTTCAGCTGTAGATATTACACAATAATCACCTTTAGGTCATTGAGACTCAGGAAGTTTTTTATCATCACTTAATAATCCCGTTATTATTGATGATGAAGGTTGAGATGAAGAAAAAGAAGAAGACGTGACTATTTCTTCATTGCAAATCAACTTAATATTTATCATTAGGATCGATCAAAAAATAAAAAACAGAAACTTTGCTCTGAGAGTTCTATATTTTGTACCGAGAATATAATATTAAATAAAGCTAATAATAATACTAGTAATTAATAACTTTTATTTACCGACCATTTCTATTTATCAAACTACTTCTTCTCATATGATCTAAATATAATTACGTAATAATCAATAAATTCAAAAATTGAAATATCGATCTAACACACACAATTAAAATTATATCCATTCCTATGTCTGATTGTATTTTTATTAGTACACTTCCAGAATATCTTCTTGATCGTAAATTAATTATTAACAATAATCATATTCATTTTATCAATGGATATAAATTAGCTAAATCAAGTATTATTTTTAAAAATCAACTAATTAAATTACGTCAAATTGAATTAAAAAATAATTCATTACACTTGAATAGTTTATCTAATTTAAAATTACAACCATTTATTATTCATTATTCAAATATTTATGCATTAGAATGTTTATTATCATTTATACATTGTAATGATGAAACACGTTATCAATTATTATATAATAATATTCAATTATCAACTATTTATTCATTATTAAAAGTTGGTTTATATTTTCATATATATGAATTTATTAATTATTGTCTTGATATTATTCAATCTAAATTGAATATTGAAAATTGTTTAAATTTTTGGAAAATTTCTAAAAAAAAATTCTTTTATAAAAAAATATCAAAATTTTATAAAATAATTTTTAATTATTTATTAATTCATTTTAATGAAATTAATAAAACAAAAAAATTTTTAAAATTAAATTTAATTGAATTAAAAATTTTATTAAAAAATGATTTACTTAATTGTTTAAATGAAAAATATTTATTTGATATTATTATAAAATGGATTAATTATAACAAAATAGAGCGGGAATTATATATTTATGATTTATTAACATGTTTAAGATTAGGTAGATTATCTAATGAAGATTTAAATGATTTATCAAAACATCCAATAATACAAAAAATGTGGAATTCATGTAGTCATTTACTATTGATGGCACATTCTCCTAATAAAGAATTAATACCATATCTTGATGGTTCGTTAACTTCTAGATTAGAAAATGAAATGGAACTTTATACATATCTTCATAAACCACGTTTTCCTCATACTGCAATTTTTGTAATTGGTGGATGGGAAGGAAATGTAGAATATTCTTATCTCGGTCCATCTAAAGTAATTCAAGTGTATAATTCACGAGCTGATAGTTGGCGTCGTGATAAATTAACTCTTAATGTTGGTCACGCCTATTCTGGTTGTGTTTTACATAAAACACAAATTTACATTATAGGCGGTTATGTGCCTAGTGGACCAACACAAACTCTTAAAGTTTTTGAATTAACGAATCTTAAATGGAAGATTTTATCACCAATGCATGAGAAAAGAAATTATGTATGTGCATGCAGTTTGAACAATTATATATATGCTATCGGTGGACATAATGGCAAAATTCGACTGCGCTCAGTTGAAAGGTATGATATAGAACAAAAACAATGGTTTTTTGTTTCACCAATGCACCAAGTTCGTAGTGATGCTGGAGCTCATTCATTTTCAGGGTATATATATGTTGTTGGAGGTTTCGATGGTGATCATTTTCATGACTCTGTAGAAATGTATGATCCCCGTACAGATCAATGGTCACTAGTAGCTCCAATGAATAGTATTCGAAGCGGTGTTAGTGTTATTGTATATGATCATTATTTGTATGCCATCGGTGGTAACGACGGAAGTCAAAGACTACGAACAGTAGAACGATATAATCCGAATACAAATCGATGGCAAATGATGCCTTCAATGATTCATAAAAGAAGTAATTTTTGTGTTACTACATTAGATGAAATGATATATGTTATTGGAGGTTGGAGTGATGAAACTAATTCAACAATCTCTTCAGTTGAACGATGGTCTCCAAATTCTTCTACTCATTGGGAACCTGTTAGAGAATTACACATTCCAGCAAGTGCGAGTTGTTGTTGTACAGTGACTGGAATAAATTTATTATTAAACTTCATATAAAAGTAAATAGAGTATTGAATGTTTATGTTTAACTATAATCTTTTTGCATTTGCACTTTCTACTCATACATACTAGTCCTAATCAGCTATCATATGTAATATATGACTTGTTACATACACAAGATACATAAACTCTTTGAAAATCATCTTTCATAACTCCAAGTTAATATTTTAAGATTCGAAATGATCTTTCAAATTCATCAATCATAAACATTTCGTTTATTACCTAAATGAATCACAAATCAACTCAAGCCCGTTCGTATATATGGATAATAAGTTATGTATATCACTTCTTAACATTATTTTTTCTTCTTAATTGATATTCATAGAAATAGGCAATCACAAGTTAATGGACATATGATTGAACATAATGAACGAATTCTTCTCTTTTTTATTTAAATGAACTAATTTAAATCAAAATATAAACATTCATAACTTAAATTAAATTTATTTGTTTATTTATCTATAACTAACTCATCTTAATAAATAATAATGAAATAATGGAATTATTCAATCTCCATGTTACAATAGGTTTTATTCATTTGTTTTATTTCTATTAAATTTATTCTTTTATTTATATTTTATTTTCAGTTGTAAATGTAACTATTTGATATCAAAATGCTTGATAAATAGATAAAAGAAAATCACTTTTCATTAATATGCTTTGTTATTATATTGTAGTGAACAAGAACACTAGTTGGGGATAATCGAATGTATTTAAGCACAAATTACAGACTATATCACTAAATTCTGATAACCATACAGTAAACAGTTAATTTGCAAAATAACATTCATTTGTCTCAATCTTGACTGTTCCTTTTGCAAATATCAGTCCGTCTTCTCTGATTTCATTGTTCATGCATTTTTATACCGATTGCGTTTCATTCCTGTTCTTTCCTTATCGATCTTCTGCCAAAATACATTCTATATCTGACCATCAACATATACTACTTATGTGGATATAAGTAGACCACACCACAATATGTTGGTGAAGAAAATTAACACATCAAATCTTAATAACTTATCATCAATTAAATGTTCATATACCAAGTTTTAAATCACTTTGTTGATTCATCATACTACTTAGCTTATAAAATTCAAAAACAACTATAAGAGTTCAATCATGTAAACTAATGATTAAATTTTGAGTGATCTTATAATAACTAACTTATTTGATTCTAACAACAAAATTGATCAGTCATAATATAAACGCACCATCAACACCAAGATTAATTTAACTTATCATGAAAACATTATCCAACCTAATTTACTTTTAGTAAGAATAGGAATGTAATTCAAAGTAAAAACCAGGAAAAAATGTATTCACCGTAGCTATCATAATAACATTTATAGGAATAAAATAAAACATAAATAATATATAATTGGTCTTTGTGATATTCCTGAACAAATATTTAAATACGTAATATATTTCTTTGTCGTGAATATTGTAGTTTGAGCCTAAGTTTTTGAATAAATTAAATACCATTAGTAGTTATCTTGAAAAAGGCTCCCTTAATAAGTGTTGAGAACATAAATTTATATTCAATATTAAACTGGAAATAAGTCCTGCATTATAAAGTTTTGATTTTGTTATCAAGTGTGTTTTCTGATATTCCATTGCAGTCACATGAGAGATGTTAAGTCCTTGATCTGTTTACCCACTTTCGTGCCGAGGATAACTTGCGTAATGTAGATTAAGACCTTGACGCAATAGGCTGACTGGCTTAAACTTGAGGATAGTATGCCTGGGTTCGAAGTGGGGTAGAGAGACGAAAACTATTCTATCACCTGATTGACTGACAGGCACGCGAGAGAGAGAAGACAAGACAACTGGAACTCTACTCGTTTTATTCCGAATTCCGATTTGATACCCGCTTTCAGATTAGTGTAAAAAGATACATGAATAAATAGATGACTAACCCGACCACAACGTACAATAATTTGGAAAATACAATTATGTCCAAAACTGGGGGATTAGAGTAGAAAATAGAGAATAAAAGATTACGTTTAAATTACAATAACTTTGGGACAGAAAGGGCTATGGCAGTGAATCATACATCAAACGAAAGCTTATGATCTCTAGAATAGAATAGGGGCAAAAGTAAATGTTACTGTTATACAAGCTTTGAATCAAACGAAATAACGTCTCCAAAAATAGCTTCCGTAGTTTGTCAAGGTTTCTTGTTTCTCTGTTCACATGAAGATACAATTGATTATAGGTCACATTAATGATTTTAGAAACAATCTTTAAATCAACGTGTTGGAGTATATCATGTTGATTATTTTATTGCGAATACCACTAATTATCTTTATTACTGAGACTAAAATCTAATATATTGAGCTGTTTTCTGGAGTTAAAATGCAATTTATAGTTATTTCAAAAGTTTGGAATATTTCATGACTGATTATGTCACACATCAACTCCATCCTGTGTTTACACAGACAGATACCTCAATGTTTAAAAACAGACAACTAAAGTCAATATATTTAATGTGGCCACTTGATCTAAGTGACTTTTGTACCAACCCGTTTAGAATTACCACACAAGAAAGTAACAGTACAACTTAGACGAACTGGAAAGTACTCAAAATCAACACTATTGACTCTAAATAAATACGAATAGATATGCTACTACAAATAACATAGAGATGTACACAATTAGATCCCCTCACTTATCATTCTAAAGTCGTAACGTCCTTCTGTTATGAACCGAGCTTTTATGATTAGCAATGAAAAACTGTGATGTTTTTATGAACTAATGATTCGTTTGCAGTTGGTGTCTGCCTGATTTCGAATTCCAAATACAATAAGTTCGTTAGTGCCCACCTAGATCTGTCTATTTAGATTATGCAACTTCAGTCATTCCTAGTTTGTACAATGATTCAATTACTTCTAATGATAACAACAACGTTTAGTGAATGTTAAATTAATTGATTAAATATGCCGATTGATTGATAACATACGATGTGGCCTAGTGACAACTGACTTAAGCCCCAAATGAATATACAAAATATTGAGTTCAAGCGTAAACATGTTTAGAAGTCACTTAACAAATGATCTATTGGAGAACACAGAAACCATAGGTGATTCACTTTTAACGGAGTTATTGCATACCTATAAGGGTTAATTCTTGCCCCGTCATATCACCTTTACCAATGGGTTTAAGATGAAACTTTTTCGAATGGGTGAGGACATTATACGAGCTATTAGTCATTCTAGCATACACAAAAACAGAATAAGCAGATTCACTATTTCTAAGCCAGAAAAAGCGAACTCGTAACACAATGTATCAGTTTTAACTTCAAATTCCATGTAAAATCAAGAAAGCTATATGTACTAAATACGCGAGATCTTAAGAAAACTGTAAGCTCAGATGGTATAAAGATCCTGGCTGACCTATCACAAATAATAAAACTTAATAGAGAATTCCTACTGATTTCAAAGTGACATCCACATTTACTTAAGTGGTTAGGATCGTATCAAACACCAATATTTTTAGGATAATACAATCATAATTAACTTCATGAATATGCAATAATTACTTATCAACACAGCATTTCATTGAGTTAGTTTGAATTAACTGAATTAGACGCGGCGTATGACTAGTTTAATAGCTGTTCTCTAGCCATAATCATTGAAATTCATGAAATCTCTACACTGTGCCTATTTCCATCTCTTCAAAAATATAGATTATCATTTTAAGTTCTGTTCACCCATTGATATAAATGAATGTTAACAAGCAAGAATAGTGATTGGTATTTCACCATGTAATCCTGATACACAGGAACAATTTTCAGCATAAATAATGTTGGCTTCTAATAAGTACACTGTTTAATCCTCATGTTTCTTAATTTACCAAATTTACCCCGAAACGAAACCTGGTTTTCCAAGCTCTCCGATGAATGATATAGTATCTTATGTCAACTTTTCGAAATACAAAACAACAGTAAAAATCCTAAGTATTTAGATATTCTATACATTTTTTAATGTGTTTCACTGATTTTGCGTGGTTTTTTATTGAATGCGTGATTAAACTGAAAGTAAAGAGAACTGAAAAAAATGCTGTGGTCATAATTTCTAGCTGAAACTTTGAATATTCTGATATCCGTGTAGAAAACAGGGAAATATCAAATATCTTTGCCAGTTAGTGTAAAATAAGGCTTCTTATAATGGACAAGGCTAACTTCTACACACTTTTCTAATATTTGTCTCTATCTTAGCAAAGACAATGGGGCTTCGATAATACTGAACACAAAAGAAGTACATTTGGTATAAAAATGCATAAACAGCAGTGAGTATGTATCCACATTATCTTTAATTTTTAAAATGCTGTTGAATTCAGATCAACAGTTAAGTTGTAGTAGGCGTCGAGTCGAGGACTATGATCATCACTGCAATTTGATTACGCGCCCAGAATCGACTTGTTTCCTTTGATAACTTGCAAACCAGAAGGCTTTATTTAGTCCAGGCAAAGTACATTTATTGGCGATCTGGTGGTATAGAAAGAATACCAAGACGTGCCAACGAGTACAGGCAAAATGGGCAGAGCGTAAGAAATTTCGAACCGAACAAGACGGATAGCGGAACCACAAGTGAATCTGATACAGTTAATCAAGTACAGTAAAACAATCGCTAGTACAATTGGTTAGAATAATAATAGTTGTTTCTATTAATCCAATCGTGTTCTTGTCGAGACAAACCGGTCACTAGAGGAGCCTCCGCTAGAAACGGTTTACACTTTCGATACTTAGCGGTTTCGTTCGTGGGACTGATCGCGAAGCGTGCAATCGTAGAACGAATGCGTTGGCAGAACAGGAAGCGATCGTTGATCCTCAAGTTTCTATCAAAGGTCTTTGACGTAGAACGGTATCAGGAGAAACGTACTGTATCGATTGCTTGGGTTAGCGTGATACACCAGAATGGTTTGTATCCAGAATCTGAAGGTTGCGTTCGTACAGGTCCGGACTAGAAAGGCTGCAGACGTAGGACGAAACCGTATTTGGCCAAAGAACCAGATGCGACCAGAATAACCAAGTTCGGGACTGAATGTATACCATACGTATTTGGAGCCCAAGAGATCGACTTAGTGCGTTGACTAGAGCGTGGGTGATCAGACCAGCCTTCGCCAAGATTGACTGAAGTCGGCGATACCAATACGGCGATGGTCGGAGGCGTAGGCTCGGGCTAGACAAAAAAATTAAAGAAAAAAAAAAGTGTAGCGTGCGTATAGTATAGGGGTAAGGCCCTATACTGTATTCGCTGCTGGTTATGAGGTTGGTCGCGAAAGCGTACGGGTAAGTGTGCTCAGCGACCGGAACGTGAGACAGTAGTCTCGGTTGAACCTCGTGAGCCTGCAATCTCATCCGCAGTCAGGGGGGGGGTGTGGTCTGCTGGTCTGGAAGTGAGACGGAAGCCTCGTCAGTAAACGGGGCATATGATAAGTGCTGTTGACTGTGACGTGAGAATGAGGTCTCTGATGTATCTAGCGTGGGATCCGAAGTAGACTTAGAGATGATGATTGGTTTAGCATTG